CTGAGCCACCCAGGCGCCCCTGTAGGAGTTCTTTATATATTTTGGATATTAATCCTTTATTATATATAATATTTGCAAACATTTTATCCCATTCCATGAATTATCTTTTCACTCTGTTGATAGTGTTCTCTGATGAATAAAAGTCTTCAATTTTGATGAAAGTCCGATTTATCTATTTCTTTTTCTTTTGTTATCTATGATTTCGGTGTCCTATACAAAAAATCACTACCAAATCCAATGTCATGAAGCTTTTCTCTTATGTTTTCTTCTAAGAGTTTTACAGTTTTAGGTCTTACATCTAGGTTTTTGATCCATTTTGAATTAATTTTTGTATGTAGTGTAAGGTAAGGGTACAACTTCATTCTTTCACATTTGGAAGGCAGCTATGCTCACCACTATACCACCAACGCAGCCTATTCTTTCACATTTGGATATGCAGTTTTCCCAGCACCATTTGTTGAAAAGACTGTCCTTTCACCATTGAATGATCTTGCCAGGCCTGTTTAAATCATTTGACCAGATATGTAAGGACTTACTTCTGAGCTCTTTATTTTGTTCCATTTGTTTATATGTCTGCCTTTATGCCGGTATCTCAATATTTGGTTACTATAGCTTTATAATAATTTTTGAAATCAGAGAATGTGAATCCTCCAACTTTGTACTTCTTTTCTTTTCAAGATCGTTTTGGTTATTCAGTTTCTTGAGGTTCCAAATGAATTTTAGGGTGGATTTTTTAATTTCTGCAAAAAAAAAATCATAAGGATTGCATTGATTTCCCATTTGGAAACTGGAAATCGATTTTGGGGATTGCCAGTATTGGGTAGTATGACATCTTTTTTTTTTAAGATTTTATTTATTTGACAGAGAGAGCACAAGCAGAGGGGGAGAGAGAGAGAGAGAGAGAGAGAGAAAGAGAGAAGCAGGCTCCCTGCTGAGCAAGGAGCCCGATGTGGGACTCGATCCCAGGACCCTGGGATCATGACCTGGGCCAAAGGCAGCCGCTTAACCGACTGAGCCACCCAAGTGTCCCGGGTAGTATGACATCTTAACGATATTGTGTCTTCCAATCCATGAACATAGGACATCTTTCCATCTATTGACATTGTGTTTTATTTCTTTTGACAATATTTTGTAGTTTTCATTATATAAGTCTTTTGCCTCTGTGGTTAAGTTTATTCCTAAGTATTTTAATCTTTTGGTGCTATTATAAATAGAATTGTTTTTTTAGTCCCCCTTTTAGATAGTTCATTGTCAGTGTATAGAAATGCAACCGATTTTTGCATGTTGATTTTTGTATCTTGCTACTTTGCCAAATTCATTTATCAGTTTTGACAGTTTTTTTCTGGGTTTTTTGTTTCTTTTGTTTGTGTATGTGTGGTCTCTAGGGTTTGGTACATATAAGATCCTGTCATCTGCAAACAGAGATAATTTTACTTCTTCCTTTCCAATTTCTATGCTTTTTATTTCTTTTTCTTGCCTAATTGCTCTGGCTAGAACTTTTAATACTATGTTGAATAGAACTGGCAAAGCAGACATTCTTGTCTTATTCCTGATCTTAGAGGAAAAGATTTTTGGTCTTTTACCAGTGAGTATGATGTTAGCTGTGGCTTTTCATATATGGCCTTTTTTATGTTATGGTAGTCAAATGCTAAGTAGAATTCACCAGTAAAGCCATCTAGTTATGGACTTGTATTTTAGAGGTGTTTTTGTTTCTTTCTTGTTATAGATCTATTCAGATTTTCTATTTCTTCATGATCCTTTCTTCAATATATACTCTCCTTCTTTGGCTCTTATACCAATTTTTGACTTAAAGTCTATTTTTTTAATGATATTGGTATAGCCCACCCACTCTCTTTTGGTTGCTATTTGGTTGGATAACTTTTTCTGTCCTTTCCCTTTCAACCTATGCATGCCCCTAGATCTAAAGACAGTCTCATAGATGGCATATAGTTGCATCGTAGGTTTTGGGTCCCCCCCCCACCATTTTGCCAATCTATGTCTTTTGATTGAAAGGTTAATCTATTTACATTTAAAGTAATTACTGTCAGGGGAGGACTTACTTTTGCCATTTTGTTATTTGTTTTCTTACAGCATTTTTTTTTGTCCATTTCCTCCATTACTACCTTTGTTTGTGTTCAGTTGATTATTTTCAATGACACGTTTTTATTTCCTTCTCATTTCCTTTCGTGTATATTCTAGAGATATTTTCTTTGTAGTTATCATGGGGATTGCACATAACATCCTAAAGTTATAACTATCTTTTTAACAACCTATTTAAATGGACACCAACTTAGCTCATATATAAAAACTCTGCTTCATTACAGCCCTGCCATCTCCCATTTTATGTTACTGACATCATAAACTGCATCTTGATATATTTTGTACCCATTAACATAGATTTATAATTATCTTTATGCATTTGTTTTTTAAACCCTATAAAAATAGTGGAGTTACAAACCAAAATTACAATAATCATGGTTTTTATATTTGTCCATATGTTTACCTTTACCAGAGGTCTTTATTTCATTTATCACTTTTAGTTACTGTCTAGCATTGCTCCATTTCTTGTAGGGCAGACCTAGTGGTAATGAACTCCTTCAGCTTTGGTTTATCTGGGGGTGCTTTAGTCTCTCCTTCATTTTTGAAGGATGGTTTTGCTAGCTATGGTATTCTCAGTGGATAAATGTTATGGGTTTTTTTGTTTTGTTTTGTTTTTTAGCACTTTAAATATATCACCCCACCCCCTTTTGGCCTGCAATGTTTCTGCTGAGAAATCTACTGAAAATCTTATAAAGGCTGCTTTGTACGTGATATGTCATTTTGATTTTGCTGCTTTCAAATTCTTTTGTCTTTGACTTTCAACAGGTTGAGTATAATATGTCTTTGTGGGTGTCTCTTTGGATATTTCCTACTGGAGTTCACAGAGATTCTTGGATTTGTGAACACATGTCTTCAAATTTAGGAAGTTTTCAGCCACTATTTCTTCAAATATTCTTTCTGCCCCTTTCTTTTTTCTCCCATAATGTGTATACTGGTCTGCATGATGGTGACCCGTAAGTCCTTAGACTCTGTTCTCATTTCTTTATTCCTTTTTTTTTGTCTCCTCAGACTCAAAAATTTCAAATGATCTCTCTTCAAGTTCTCTGATTCTTTCTTCTGCCTATTCAAGTCCACTGTCAAACACCTCTAGTGAGTTTTTTCAATGTAGTTATTGTATTTTTCAGCTCCATAATTTCTGTTTGATTTCTTTTTATAATTTCTATTTTTCATTGATAGTCTCATTTTGTTCATATATTATTTTCCTGATTTCCTTTAGTTCTTTGTTCATGTTTTCTTTTAGCTCTTTATGCATATTCAAGGTGGTTGTTTTAAGGTTTTTGTCCAGTCCACTTAAGGGAAGATCTCCACTAAATAACAGAACATGTTCCAGGGTGAATGAAGTCTTAAGTTCTCAGGAGTTTTCTGAGCATGCATCTTGCCTGAACCTGTGTGTGTGTGTGTGTGTATGTGGTGTGTGCTTTTTTAGTTAGTCTATATACACAGCTACTTTAAAATGCCTTAATTTCCCAAAGAGTGTCTCCCCTGCTTCTTCTCAAGGCCTTTTATGTTCTGTTGCATTTCTCCACCTGTAATCTCCGGCCTCAGACTTTCACAGATCTGTAGTCCCCTAGAAGCTTTCACCAGCTATAACCACCCCTGTTTTCAATCGCTTTTCTTAGCCTGAAACATGAACTATGACACTTCTCCCTATCTGAGCTCTGAGTTAAGCAAAGCAGAGGGACCAATCCCTCAAGCAGCCTCCAGACAGATTAAAATGTTGCTCCACTCTCTCTGGGTTCAAGGGAAGGAACTGGGAGCTGAGCCACTGCTTCTCTTACATGGCACCATGCTGTTCTAAGGAGAAAATGTGAAAAGAGCAAGTAAAAATACCATGGAATTTACTACCATTTTGAATGTGACTTTTTCTAAATTGGGCATTTGTTCGGTTGCTGTGGACCTCTGACTGCTTTTCAGAACTCTTCTATAGTTATTTTAGCTAGGCTATAGTTGTTTCTTTTTTTTTTTTAAGATTTTATTTATTTATTTGAGAGAGAGAGAATGAGAGATAGAGTGCACAAGAGGGAAGAGGGTCAGAGGGAGAAGCAGACTCCCTGCTGAGCAGGGAGCCCCATGTGGGACTTGATCCCGGGACTCCAGGATCATGACCTGAGCCGAAGGCAGTCGCTTAACCAACTGAGCCACCCAGGCGCCCGCTATAGTTGTTTCTTAAGTATTTCTGTGGCAGAGTAAGGAGCTGGGGCTTCTTAGTCTGTCATGTTTTTCATATCACTCCAACTCTGCTCTCTTCATATGATCTCTTCTAGGCGTAGGACCAGCCCATAGTATCCTTGGGTACTATCTTGCCCACAGGAGCCTGGAGGGATTGCTCAGCCAGTTCTTCTTGCCCTTGGACCTTCTCTTACACACACCTGCTCCCCAAATAAGGCCAAGTGCAATGAGAACTAACAATGGCCACAGCCACATCTAGCCAGAGGGGTGGTGAATGCAAATGTTCTCCCCAAAAACAGCCTTTTCCTGTTCTCAGAAGTCACCACCACCCTTTCCCACCAAAATTGCCAATTGTATATCATCCTCTTGCCCATTTCCCAAGAAGACATGAGGATATCTCCATGTCTCCGCAAAAATGTAAGTGACTCAGTCTTGATTGCCGCCACAAATAAAGATACTCAATTTCAAGTAGGCCAATTCAGGCAAAGTATTTTTGTGTTGGCCTTTAAAGTACATGGGGACACCAAGAGCCCATTTGTTCTGTTTTGAAAGTAAAAACTGAAATTCACAGGCAGGGCAAGGTTGTGGAACGGGTGTCAGAGAGCAGCAGGTCATCACTGGACATCAGTGCAGGGACTGGCAAGACTGCCTTGGCAAGTACCCCACTCTGGGAAGGGCCAGGCCAGGGATAGCAGATGTTCTTCAAATCAAGGTGCAGAGCAATTAGGGACGGGAACACCAGAAGCCTAGAAACACTCCACTGAAAATAATGCTGAGGCACAATTATATTGACACCTCTGCTATGGCATTTTCAAGATATAATGGTGATCTTGATGATTGCTTGAATGTAACTCCCCTATGAAGAGCACAGACACCCTAATGTCACATTCTTAAGATGTAACCATCTGTGACCCTTAATTTGGAAATAGTAATGACCCCATTCCTATCTCTGCCTGCCAGGCCACCCCAAGCCCTCTGTCCACTTTCTCCCATTCCTTACCTTCATTCTCTCTTCCACCCAGTTTCCAGTGAGCACTCGGGTTGAATACTTGGTCTCAACCTTCCAGCTTGGGGTAGAGAAGGACTGTGGACTTACTGCAGTCAAAAACTGCATGGTAAGTGTTTGCCCTGAGTCTTTTGACTTGCCACAGTTTCAGGTTTCAGGAGTGGGGAGATGTTACGCAGTTGCTGAGTTTAGGGTGTCTTTTTCATCTTTCCAGACACCCTTCTGAGTGGGTATAGATGATGACACTCTGCCAGTTTCACAAAACAAATGGGCCCGAGAGTCTACCTTCAGCCTCCAAGGAGAGGTGACTTGATCTTGGATTCCCTACTGTTGACTGTCTCCATGGTGATAGGCTGTGCGTATAAATACTCTCCTTAAGGGGGAAGCTGATTCTTCAGGAGCAAAACCGACCCCATAGAAGCAAATCAAACCAACAATAACCACCACAAATGCAGGGCCAGAAAGACCTTGTTTTCGTGTTGTCACCCTGTGAGAGGCATCATCCTTGGGGTACTTTTATAAGGATGAGTTGAGATGATCACATTCTATTACTAATTCTATTACTCTAGTGCTGATGTGCTAGGCCCATGTGGAGGCATTTGCATGTAGTCACTCATTTAATTCTCATAGCAGCCCTATGAAGCAGATGCCACTATTATACCTATTTTACAGATGAGAGCAGTGAAGCAAGGAGAGATTAAGTAGCTGTTTAAAGTTACCCATGTGGGAGAGTTGGGATTTGAATCCACTCTGATTCAGGCCTAGACCCCTGGGCTCCACTCAGTGCTTGTCTGCCCCTTTGCCCAAGGGGCTTCCACAAAGAATCCTATCTTTGTGCTCAAACTGATACCATGTGGTTCATTTGGTTAGTCTTCATTCACCTCACAATCATTTTATTGAACACATGCTACATCTTGGGCACTGAGCTGTGTGTGTAATGCATCAGTGACTAGATGAGGGTCCCATCCACACAGAGGGACCCCACTGAGGTCTAATGGGAGAAAGGCCATTATTTTGTTTATTCACTAAGCAAAAAAAATTAGGAACAACCTATCTATTGAGGGAGAGCTGGTTCAATAAATTATGGTACATCTATATAATGAAATACTCTGTAGTTGTTAAAAAATGCTGACAGAGAAAGGTGTCTCTAATATGGTTGAATTAAAGAAGCAGAACGTTGTAGTCTCACTTGCCACAAATGAAGACATCCAATTTCAAGTAGGCAATTCAGAGAATGTATTTTTCCAACAGTCTTTAAACAAAAGTAGAGGAACTCCAAGAAAGTATTTGTTCCCTCTTGAAACTAACCATGTGGCGGGGAAAGGACATGAAGACACACCACAGAGCATGGCAAACCTCTATTTGGCAGGGACAATGGTCTGGGCAGGCTAGAGCCAGGAAGGGGGGGATGACCTTCTGATCCAAGTACAGGGGAGTCATGTGGTCTGTATAATTCCATTTTTAAAAACTTTTAATTATAAAATGTAACACAGTATGAACAGGTACATTAAAAATAAATGTACAGATAAATGAATTACAGTAGAGCAAAACCCCACAAAATCAGCATGGAGGTCAATAAGCAGAACATTACCAGCACCCCAGAAGTGCCACACACACCTCCTCCCTTTCCAACCTGACTTCCGTAGCTGTCACTTCCTTGCTTATTTTTTTTTTTTTAATATGCTGAGCACCAAAGGATGCATTCGTATACACTAATGCTTAGCCTTGCCTGTTTGTGGAGTTGGTATAAATGGAACTGTATAGCATGTATTCATTTGAATCTGGTTTCTTTTCCTCAATACAGTTAATATTTTTTTAAGATTTTATTTATTTGAGAAAGAGAGACAGACAGAGCATGAGTGGAGGGAGGAGGCAGAGGGAGAGGGAGAAGCAGACTCCCCCCAGAGAGCAGGGAGCACGATGTGGGACTCGATGGGATCATGACCTAAGCCGAAGGCAGACGCTTAACCGACTGAGCCACCCAGGTGTCCCTATAGCTAATATTTTTAAGATTCACTCATGTTGCATGTAGCTGTGGTTCCTTGACTTTTTTGTACCTGTCTCCTGGATCCCAGATACAGCCATTTCTCTAGGGCCGTGGTTCTCAAATTTCTAGTTTCTTAAAAATTATTTAGGACCCAAAGGGGTCCTAAATTTTTTATTTTTATTTTTTTTCAGATTTTTTTTATTATGTTGTTAGTCACCATATATTATATTATTAGTTTTTGATGTAGTGTTCCATGATTCATTGTTTGCGTATAATACCCAGTGCTCCATGCAGTACATACCTTCTTTAATACACTTTACCGGGCTAACCCATCCCCACAACCCCTCCCCTCTAAAACCCTCAGTTTGATTCCTGGAGTCCACAGTCTCTCATGGTTCTTTTCCCCCTCCGATTCCCCCCTTTCATTTTTCCCTTCCTTCTCCTAATGTCCTCCAAGCTATTCCTTATGTCCCACAAATAAGTGAAACCATATAATTGACTTTCTCTTTCTGACTTATTTCACTTAGCATAATCTCCTCCAGTTCCATCCGTATTGATGCAAAAGTTGGGTATTCATCCTTTCTGATGGCTGAGGAATATTCCATTGTATATATGGACCACATCTTCTTTATCCATTCATCTGTTAAAAGGCATTTTGTCTCTTTCCACAGTTTGGCTATTGTGGACATTGCTGCTATGAACATTGGGGTCCATGTGGCCCTTCTTTTCACTACATCTGTATCTTTGGGATAAATACCCAGGAGTGCAATTGCTGGGTCATAGGGTAGCTCTATTTTTAACTTTTTGAGGAACCTCCACAGTGTTTTCCAAAGTGGCTGTACCAACTTGCATTCCCACCAACAATGTAAGAGGGTTCCCTTTCTCCACAACCTCTCCAACATTTGTGGTTTCTTGCCTTGTCAATTTTTGCCATTCTAACTGGTGTAAGGTGGTATCTCAATAGGGCTTTTTAAAATATGAATTGTACTGGGGTCTGGAGCCAGGTCATAGCAGGTCATGAGAGCCAACGGTGCCCATCTCTTCCCAATATTACATTCTGTAAAATCACATTGGTAGCTCAAAATCATTCATGGTGGAGATATTTATACCACAAAATGGGCAAACCCAATAGATTAATATAAATATGTTATGATTTGTTGATTTCAAAAAATTCCATGTGTTGTGATATATTGTTTTGTGTAAAGGAGAAAATCTAATTTCGTATTGATTTGTAGTTAGAAGAGAGAGAAATATTTTAATAGGCTTTGCCACTAATTGTTGATATTCTTTGATGCTACAGCAAAACTCAATGAGTGGTAGTTTCTTAAAGGTTAGTTACAGTGTGGAATCTGAAACTATTCAGTCACCTCTTTGAGCTCTGTTACATTAAAATCCACTGGTTGAGCTTGTGCTTTGAGTAGATCTTTCAGTTATTTGTGATTTTGTAACATCATGGTGGTCATTTGAAATACATTGGTATACTGAGCCTTACAAATCTTCCAGATGTTGGATATTATATGATATTTTAAAAATTGCATCTGCTAATACCACTAGTGGTTTCATCAGAAAAGCTTTTAAGTATTAGCTAGTTGACCAGCTCACAGTGATGGATACAAGTTTTCCAAAATTCTAGTTTTAGTTTGAAAGCTCAAAACTCTGTCATTGGCAACAACTAATGTCCAGTTTTCCCTGAAGTGTCAGACTTACTTCATTTATTTTTAAGAAAATATCTGCCAGATGTTCCAATTTGAATAATCACGTTTTTCTACCCATCATGTCTTCAAGTAAAAACAGTATTTAATTAAAAAAAAAAAAGCCTACCTACTTCTGCTTACAACTTCAGTACTGTTTTTCAAGAGAATATCATTCTTGGGTATGCAACAGCAGAGTTTTACTCACACCTACCTTTTGTTTCATCACACAGCACAAAGGTCAAGATTTAATAAAATTAATAATTTTTACTTCTTCATCAAGGACAACCTTAAGTGAAACTAGCATCATCACTGTCATCATCATCATCATCATCATCATTATTATTAATTATTTTACTGCAAGTGTGTGGCAGTGGAGAACATGGCTCTAGCCCCACGGGTGCCCCTGCCTGGAGTCATGCATAGGCACCAGCTGCTTTACCCACCACTGCTTCTCCACTATCAGTACCAATGTCGACACAGTGAAAAGGGACAAATAACCTCTTAGTATTACTAAGAAAATAGTTTTGCCCCCTGGGTGGTTCAGTTGGTTGACGACTGCCTTCAGCTCAGGTCATGATCCTGGAGTCCCGGAATCGAGTCCCACATCGGGCTCCCTGCTCGGTGGGGAGTCTGCTTCTCCCGCTGACCCTCTCCCCTCTCATGCTCTCTCTCACTCTCTCTCTTTCAAATAAATAAATAAAATCTTTTTTTAAAAAAAAAAAACCTGTTTAATTAAAAAAAAGAAAAGAAAGAAAGAAAATGGTTTTGCCCTTGCAGGTCCCCTGAAGGAAGCTTGAGGATCTCCAGGGATCTTGTTTTGGAAACCTCTGCTCTAAGATATATACCTATAGCAGTGGAATTTCTGGGTAATAAGGTATGTGTGTCTTCAACTTTGCTAGATAGTGCCAAACTGTTGTCCAATATGTCAATTTATATTCTCTCCATCGGTATGTATGTTTGTTTCCATCACTCCACACCTCTAGAACTTTTTGATTAGCCCGTCCGTTAAGCAATAGCTCCCCATTTCTACTTCCCCCAGGCCCTGGTAATCCCTGTTCTACTTTCCATCTCTATGAATTTTCCTGTTCCAGGTACCTCATGTAAGTGAAAGCATACAGGGTTTTTGTTTGGTTTGGTTTGGTTTGGTCTTGCTTATTTCACTTAGCCTAATATTTTCAAGGTTCATCCATGGTATATACATGTCAGAATTTCATTCTGAAAGGATGAATACCCACCATTTGCATCGACGTGGATGGAACAGGAGGGGATTATGCTAAGTGAAATAAGTCAAGGGGCGACTCGGTGGCTCAGTTGTTAAGTGTCTGCCTTTGGCTCAGGTCATGATCCCAGGGTCCTGGGATCGAGCCCCGCATCGAGCCCCGTATCGGGCTCCCTGCTCGGTAGGAAGCCTGCTTCTCCCTCTCCCA